CATCCGAAGAAGTGGGCTGTAGTCCACGAAAGCTTATGCTCTAATAAATTTGTTAGTCTCTAAGGTGCCACAAGTCCTCCTGTTCTTCTTTTTGTACATATATAGGCATACGTGTAAGCATATCCGTTTATAAACATTTTTAAATCTAATTCCCTATTATAGATAGGTAGTGGAACCCATTTATACTGACCTCTGCTGCAGGAAAACTCTTTATAATTATGTGAAATGAAAGTCCTGCACTGTTTCACTATAACCTAGACGGCAGTGCACTGAACCTGTTTCTAGTGGATTTGTTCTCTCTCTCTCTGTGTGTGTGTGTGTTGATGTTGGGGGTGGAGGAATGACTTTTATGTAAGAGGGTTTCACTACGGAGAGAAGGGAAATGTTTTGCCTGGATTGAGATTGTAGAGGAGCCTGGAACTGGCTTGTTCATGTGGCAGATGTTCCATGTCAGGGCTTCAGAGATGGAGTAAAGGAGCAGCTTTCCTCTCAGTGAATTTATGTAAGCTGGTTAAGTCACATTAACGGAGCAAAGAAGCTTCCAACTTCTAAAACTTCAGCACTTGTAGAAGAGTCCAGGATTGAACGTTTCCCATGGAAAAGGGCAGCTTCTCTTGCTCAAGTTGTTATATCAAATTAAAGTGTAATAGTTAGTGATGCACTCACAATAAAAGGGGCATCTGATGGTTTAGAACTACATTTATAAACGTTGGCGGGTGGTGGTGGGGATGGGGGACCAGTTGTTCACTGAGCCACTTAGTGAGAATCAAACTGTTCTTGAATTATAGTTGACAAGACAAATAGAGCCCAAGCTTTCCATGTGCTAAAAGATTTTTTTGTACCTTGCATGTTTTTGAATAGTGTCGCTATAAATGAAAGATAATTTTTTATTTAAAAACTTTCTATTCATAAAGGTAAATGAACCTTCTTTGAATTAAGAGGTTTTATTTAGGATCTAGCAGTGTTCCTGTTATTTCCCCTTTACTTCAGTATAATGATATTTCAGGCCTGTTCCAAATGGTATCCATATGTTTCAGTAAAAAGTCACCTGTTGTATTTTTGTCTTTGTTAAAGTAAATGTGAGCAGATTATATATATAATTTATTTATTTATTTTAACCTGTCAAGCTAGTCAAAGTAAATTTGAGGACATTTTACTTTAGGTTATCTCTGTTTTATGTTTCTGATACTGCTGTTTGGTTTGAGATTAGCACATTGATTTTTGTTACATGTCATGTTTTTTAATACATCTGCATTGCTTGCAGAATACTGTTGTATTCTGTATATCATTGGCTTCAAAATAGGTGATACCAAAGTTAACCGGCAGAATTTTCAAGTGCCCGGAGTTTGCTAGTTAGCTTAGTTCTTTAATGTTATGCTTGTGGTGGCAGCTTTTCAGTTAAGTTAAACTGATGTAAAAGAAGGGTGACAGAAAATAATGATTTATCTGGATAACTTTTTAGTTGTGATGAGTAACTATACTTTTTTTTTTTTAAAGCTGTCGCCACAGGCATAACATTAAAGTACTATTAGAGTAGAATTAAGGAAGGTCCTACCTCCCATCACACTTAGATATATTTTAAAGCATATGCCTCTTTAAAAAATTGTATGTCTCATCTAACAAAGTTTTCTTAAAATAAAGTTGAAATGAAACACAGTAAAATCATTTTAAAAAAACAACCCTCAAACAAACAATGTTCATCTACTCTGCTGTAAAGAGAGATAAATATTTGAGGGAGTAAATTTGACCAAATGAAAGGCACGTGTTGCTAGTATGGAGATTGTTTTTTTTTTTTAAACAAAGTTTACAATTTTAACTTTTCTGCTTCTCTCTGTGTGGTTATTATACATGGAGAAGATACTTGAAAGTAGAAATAATATTTAATGTGACAATAAGTAGTATGTATTTAATGGGTCTGTTTGTAATGCTTTTATTAAACTTTGTAATATTACATCATTGTAAAACGAAAACCTTTTCTAACTTAAATTTTCACCATCTGCAAAGAAAACTTTGTTTTGTTTTGTTAAGCTTCCAAACACAGGAGGAGCATGAGTTCATTACAAATTATTTTAAGCCATCTCTTCTTAAAAAGCAAAGCAAAATAAACAAAAAACACTTTCTTGATATCTTAAAATAGGAAGCAGCCTTTTTTTAAGTATCTGTTTCTATATGACATATTTGCTCAAGAGTTAAAAATATGGTAAAGTTATAACGAGCTCAAATATGCTACTCTTCTGTTTTACAGAGTAGTGGCAGTAAAAATCTGAATTTTGTCCATGCCTATCAAGTTCCTTGATCTTGTGCTACAAAAACAGGCAAACATCTGTTTGGATAAACATAAGAGGATGGGAGGAAAAATTGCTTTGTATTTTGTATTGCCTCTGTCAGGATCTAAGTTCAGAAGGTAAAATTCAGTCTGGTTATCAAAATTTTAAAATTAGTCAGTTGTTCAATAGTAATAACTTGTCAGTAATTTTTCTTTCTATGTCAGAGGATTGACTGCATTTTGTTTTTACTAACATGTGGCAATCAAAAACAATACCTAATTGGATGATAACAATCTGAATTGGCAGGTGAAATAATGTTTTATTTCTTTTACCTTTAATATAGCCATAGTAGTTTACCTTACTTTTTTATAATGTTTATCCAAAGTTACCAATCCACTGTGAACTAATAGTCAGTTAAAAATTCAGATTTAAGTTCAAGCGCAAGAAAATAGAAATATGCTCTACAATACAGTTTCTTCAAACCTTTTGAGTGAAGAGATTTTTCATGTACTTCTGACAGCTATATCTTGGTTTTATAGTTGCTAACCTAACTAAACAACTTATGAAAACAGAAATAATTTCTATTATTATTAAAAAGTCATATTAACAATCTGATGAGTGGTGCAAATAGATTAGTGCCTCCAGTATGAAACACACTTCCTTAAATAAAACACCATGAGTAAGTATATTATAAAGGTTTGTATTGGATATTTTTTGAATAGATGCCAAAATCCTGGTAGAATAGTTAAAAATGTCTTCTGTTATACTGTTAATATATGAAAGAGTAATATAACATAGTAATTTATTTTTAAATCACCCAAATATATTTTCAGAAAAATCACTTAGAAGTATCATTTTGCTTGCTTCCTACTATGTCACTTTAATTAACAAAATATATGTCTCCTCATAAATACCATACGCTGATTCCAAATAAAAACATGTGTTACTCTTCTGTTAAACACGAGGCTTTCTAAAATGTGATTAAAATAAGGTTGCTTTATTACATGTGAAACTGTGTGTAAAAACTTGTGGATAGAATATTTTACAATATGTATTCTTGAAAATTTATGCAAGTGCTCTTTATATGTGATTTTGTAGATGTTAAAGTGCTTGTGAATTCTGATCTACTCTTAAAACACTTTAGTCTTACATCTATGACTGCAGAAGTACCACTTCACCGTAGAGAAATAGTAAGGATCTTGTCACAGCCACGTTCCTGTGTGCAATGTTTAACATAATTTTGAGAGTTCATTCAGAATGCAACATATTTATTTCATCTGACTCATCAGTACCATGATGATAATGATGATGATTCAGTCACCGACATTTCTCCCTTTTTAGGGCCTGATCCTTCAGTTGCTAGCTACTGAGCACTTGCCATTGAGAGTAGTATTACTTAAGTCAAATTGGACTACTTGCAGTAGTAAGTGCTACGTGCTGTACTTTTTTCAGGATTGCATTTCAAGACTGCAATTTCTGTCTAACTATATAAGTTATTTCAAGAGTTGCATATTGTATAGAATTTATAAATTGATGGTGGTTTCAAAGAATTTTAAATAGTTTGTGTTTCTAGTCAGGTCAAATCTTTTATCACTAATACAAAGGGCCAAATCTTGCTTGTCTTACTCAGGAAACTAATTTTGTTGAAATTAGTGGTGTTTGGATGAGAAGGGTGTATGCTGTTGGCCGTAATAAATAAAAATATATGTAATTAAAAATTCAATGTAATTATTTGTATTCATGGACTGATCACTCTAGATATAGATATGTATGTAGTGTGTGTGTGTATGTATGTATACATATGTGGGTCTACTGGAAATTATATACTCAAAGTAATTTTAATCTCTAACTGTATGGTTATAATAATTATAAGTGATGCCATAATTGGACTCATCAATATTAGAGTTCTCATTAGGATAGTTGCTTGAGGTCTCAAGTACAGAGTGGAAAATGAGTGTGTTCCTGTAAATTCCATGACTAGATCAAAATTTCCAAACGCAGGTGTGTAAAGTTAGGAAGCTGAATCCATAGTTAGGCACTTAGTCCTTGATT